CCAAAGGATCACCCCCACACGCACTCTCGCTCACACAACCCAACCGGACTAACCCGGGGGACTGGGGAAGGATGGGGACCTGACACCAGATATGTGTTTCGGAAGATTATTTTATTCGCCTACCCTACGTGATCTTATACTCAATCACTTCCCTTACAAACTCAGAGATTACATAATTATCTGGATTATGATGCGGGAATCATTTATCAATTACACTCACACAAAGTACGAGGATCCCTCCGCTGCGACTATAGGTGATTGGTGATTGGTTAATTGTGGGAGATTAGAACAGTGCAACTTTTCCTGAGACCGCGCACGGGTTCCGGCCACAGCAGAAAGAGAGCGAAGCTGAGGGAATGGCCGCTTATATACACTGGCGCTATTGGCTGTTGCCCCCATAAACCTGGGTACGGGTGAGTGCACGCGCAAACCGCAGCGGCTGGCTACCAGTAAAGAACTAAAGTGCGCCCTCTATTAAATGCATTGCGCTACACTATTCTGAAGTCAGACTTGAGATTATCACCTTGGAACAATGGCAGAATCGTTGTCGTCATCCCCGTGACTCGAATGGTCCATTTCTCAAGGCATCCCAGCCGAATTGAGAGAGAGACCATTGAATAAATGCCTTGATTCCCAAAACAAAGCACAGCAGTCAGCATAGCTTCCGTAAAATTAAATGGTCTCAAGCTCAAAACACATACAGTAAGATAAGAGGAGCTAGCGGTAGTTCTTTAACGCTTTTCCAGCCGTTGTTATTTTCTAACTTGATCGGATTTGATTCTTTTTAGTCTTCACGAACATTTATTTTAACACAAATGAATGGGTAATTTTAACTGTAATCATTTTTAATGATAAAGAGTTATCATTCTTGATTTTTGAAAGAGAATATTATACTTTGGTATTTTTAACGATTTGAATCCAAACTACGTGTACAATGTAGAGGTCGCTCTCCACTATCCTTTGGGCCAGCAGGTGCAAAAAGCGTTGACAACTGACAAGAAGCATGATCTGCCGTGTAGGCCTATGGGGTTGCAAACACGTTTTTGATCCTCCCCCCCCCCCTCCTAAAAAAAATCACAGTTAACGAGAGAAAAAGTCAAAAAACACAATTATGAGGGCCGGCGGATTCATTTCGAACCCGTGACCCCGTGACGTGATCGCATAACAAGTTTCAAAGTCATGATAACACATACTAATTGACCGTACATCGAGAGTTGTGCTTATCGATTGGTCCTCCCACCCCTTCATTTCATTGATAAAACTCCTCCCCCACCACAAAAATTATCTTCATTCGGACCGTACCATTCTGCGTTTTCTGTTGCATATCAGCAAATTAATGTAAATCAGGTCCATAGCATGCAAGCAAACTAAGGCTAAGCCAAAAAAAAAAAAAAAAAAAAAACATGGGCTACTAATACAACAGACAAAGAGGCCAAAAATTAGGTCACTTTTAAAATTTATCATTGTTTTCGTGTGTTTTTTTCCCCTTAAAAAAAAAGGAGGCGGCCTCCAAAAAGAAAGCGGGGGGCGCTATACATGGTTTTTTTTTTTTATTTAGCCTATAATTTTCATTGCTCATAATACGCTTCTTAGCGCAATAGTCTTCTGCTGGAATTATTTTACGCTCACGTTGAGCATTGACGGTCCACAAATATGGGCTTCCATAAATAGCAAGCAACTATAGTATATCGGATGTGATTACTCATCATCTTACACGGAGCGGACATCTTAAGAGGGCATAAGTGATGTGAATCCCAGGAGAGGAACCGGTGCACGTGACAAGAATCCAGCATATAGCTATAGACCATTATCATGTTGCGGCCATCTTGATTTTTCCCCATTCAAATCAACGTAACCGAGGCGATGCTGGAAGGAAATATAGTCTGGTTCCTTTTTGCAAAAAAACCCATTATTTTTCAGTATTGTTATTGGAGACAAAAAACATGACTGAAATGGAGGCAGCATGAAAAAGGTGGATATAGACCTTTATCATGCTGCCACCATTTCAGTCATGTTCCCTGCATCAGTATACTGAATGATGTGTTGTGCAAAAAGGAACCAGACTATTTTTTTCTTCCAGCCTCGCTTTGGATACGTTAATTGATTTGAATTGGGAAAAATCAAGATGGCCACAACATGATAATTGTCAATTAATAGCAGGGTCAGGGGCAGATTCAGGATGTTTTGGCAGGGGAAGGGGGGTCATCAACAAATCAATGCTGAAATGTAGACAGGTTTTTTTGTCCGGACACTTGGCTCCGGAAAATCAAAACTCTATTAGTCCTGAATCCTCCAATTTCAATACAATTTTGCACACCCCCTAGGGAGTTAGGGTGCTCGTGCCGTACTTTCATTGGCGGCGCTGTTTAAAATCCGACGATTATTAACACTATATTACAGGATAGTGTACAAATACCCTCGTAACCAAACAGGCTCTGTCCGTATTTTGGGCACAGGCGTATATTTATACCAGTATAATTATTTTTGAGTGTCAGAAAAGGGAGGTGGGGTTTATCATTATTTTTAATAATTCTAATTGGAACACAAATTTCGTCTCGTATACGCCAAACCTTGTTTTTCAGAAATCAAATTCGTCTAAAATAAGACGAATTCGATCTCTGAATGCTGCCAACGGTAAATGACAAAATTGGTTTTGGTAAAAGCGTGCGAATATTTTGTCGGACGAAATTGTATGGTAGAGTTGGTGAGTTTGAATGAAAAACGTTTCAAAATAGCCGGGAAAACCTATAAGTAAATTTAAATTAATAAACGAAAAGAACAAGACTATAGTCTTGAAATGAAATGAGGAAACGTCAAGCCTGCGATGACCCTCAATTCCCCTGTGAATTTGTCTTCCTAAAATTACGTCCGACAGATTTTGAAGAAGATAAAAATCCAAGCAAACAAACAAAAATGTTATGAAGAAACAGGGAAAGAAGAAGAAGTGGAAATTAATCTTATTAGCGCACTTAATGTCACAATGAAGTATGACGAAATATTGAAGTTTTCGATTAAATTGTGTGGCATTAGACGAATTTGTTTTTCTGAATAACACGGTTCGGCGTACATGTATACGATCGCGACGAAAGCGATACCTCCTTGACGGAATTATGTGCGCCCATGGTTTGAATTTGCTTCAACTACAACTGAAATTTTGTGTTAAAGGACGAAATTAAACAAATCGATTTTGCTGGACGAATTTGAATTCTAAAACCGCAGAATTTGAATGAAAAAAGGTTTAAAATAGTCGGGGAAAATTTTCGGGCCAATATTAAAACAAATTTCTGTTGATATATTTTCTTTCGTGACTGATGTGTAGTTCAGTCGGTAGGGCCTAAAAAGTAATTTTTGAAATGTCTTTTTTTGACTTAAAGTAATTTTAAATGGCATAGTTCTGCTTTTGAACCACCAGTCTGGTTCCTCAGCCCATGTTCCTTCCTCTATGCCTGACATATAGCCGTCACATAAAAAAAATATATATAATTGAACATTTCGCATATAAACAACCTCGTCCCCAGAGCTTAATTTATTTTCAACCTCGTTTCCAATGGTTAGCCCTGGGATTGGAACTTGCTTCCTGTAGCGCAATTAGCAGGTAATGCATTTCTATATCGTGTACTTGGTGTTGATGTTTCCAACGAATATTACGTCTTTTTACGTTTATTGTAATTATTACATCCGCACCTACTCATAATAATCATTTCTTTCCCAATTTGCTTATATATTAATATGATGCATATTGGCTGGATAAGATTTGTGACACTTTGAAAAAATTGTGTATTGTCGTAACTCCCGCCGCCACGAATTGATTCTCTTTTTACCCTAGACACCACATACATAAACAACGCTGATGTAACGCATAGGCAGGCACCAGACTATAATATTCCTCATTTGCATACGTATTTAAAAAAAATTGTGGATATGCAAAATGATCCAATACCAGGGTGAGAGAGCAGATAGTGGTGGGCGCGTACTGCTCGACACACTGGGAACGATGTTGCATACAACCCTGCCCTCATCATATTATAGGTTTTCCCGGCTATTTAAAAACATTTTTCATTCGACTTCACCAACCCTATCTCTTAATTTCGTCCGCAAAAAAAATCACAAGACCAGTTTAGTCATTTACCATTCAGTTTTAAAGTTTGTTCACCTTTTTTAAAACGTTTATCATGCGAATTTTTAAGTTTGTTCACCTTTTTAGTCTTCTTTATTCACCAGGTCGAGAATATTACAAATCATATTCGTCGATGGCAGCACTCAGAGATCGAATTCGCCTTCCATAAATCAACCAGACGAATTTGATTTCTAAATAACAAGGTTTGGCGTAGGCGAGAAGAAATCGAATACTCCAGGACGAAAACTTGTGCTTATTGTTTGAATTTGCTTGAACTGAATTGAAATTGTCCGACAAAAGACGAATTTAAACATTGGAAGTGCACTATTTTGATGTTGATGGACGATTTTGAATATTAGAAACGGTGAATTCAAATGATGAGAGATTTAAAATAGCAGGGAAAACATATATTATAATCGTTAAGGTGCGTAGGAAATGGCGTTCTCAAGCCTTCCGACATGGGAAAGCGGACCTTGTGCTATCTCTAATCAAAATCCTACTGACATACACTTTAGACCGATACACTTGAGATTCAGTGATAAAATAGAATAATGTTGTATTGGAAAATATGTATTATGGAGGAAAACAAATACTCGAGGTGGGTAATTTGGGGGAGTCCAATGTAAGCCGCAGTGGCACACAATGGCTACTTCACTTTAACCTATCACTTCTGGCTTGGTTATGTTTGCTTGAGTCTGCAATATAATTAGAACTGGTATTGTGCTTTTAATCAGCCAGATACTGAGTAAACCATAATTTTCCCACTCATGAACAAGACTGTAAATTGTAAAGAAAGACTTAATGCATTGCGTAAAACTGAATTCACAAATTCAGCCAACAAGATATCCGACAACAAGACTTGTCTTGTATCACTTTCCGGATCATGGCGGAAGAAGGGACTCGTCCTGCTGTTTTAGAGAGGATCACAGACGATCATCTTAAGTGCTCAATCTGTCGAGAACTGTACAAAGAGCTAAAGACTTTATCCTGTTTGCACAGGTTTTGTATGCAGTGCCTCGTGACATACCGGCAGTCTCATTGGGATTCTGACCATTTGATGTGTCCACTATGTCGCCAACAAACATCCGTTCCCGGGGGTGACATCAGGAATCTCGCTACAGATTTTGCACCGGCATCGTTGGAAGAAGTGGTGCAGAAAGAATATGGACCCACAATACAGACATGCAGTATTCATGAACAAGGAAAATGCGAACTTTTCTGTGAGACTTGTACCAAACTCATATGTCTTACGTGCCTGACGGAGTCCCACAAACGTCACGAGTTTAAAGAGGTCAGACGCATGAACATCGCCGATAAGAGGAAAAGAATCAAAGACAAAATACCACAGTACCAAAAATCCGTGGCAGATCTCACGCAGGCTTTACAATCCGTGGACAAAGAAAAACGAGACTTCGCAGTAGCAATGGTGAGACTCAAGGAGGAGGTAGAAGGTGAAGCTAGAGTTATGAAAGACAAAGTGGACGATTCAAAGCGAAGCATCTTGCGTCAGCTCGATCAGATCCAGACGGAGAGGGAGAAAGAGCTTAAGGACTTCTCTCACGACCTCAACTTTATGAGAAAAACCACGCAGAAGCTTCTTGACGAATCCAACCTTGTACTAGAAACGAACCATCAATATGTGTTCCTCCAGAAATATACTAGTACCGGTATGGGTTCGCTCGGTAAAAACCGGCGTCGTATTCCTAGCATGAAGAATAATCCAGTAGTTACATTCACGCCGTGTGAGAAAGACATTCCCGTGGGAAAAGTGTTGAAACACAGTACTATTTTCAAAATAAAAGGTCTAATGATAGATCTTGTGTGGTTTCTAAAGATGGTCATGATAGCGGTGGTGATGTTTATTGGGTTAGTGACGTGTGTGGAGGCGATGGTTGGAATTACGACGAAAATGGCAGTGCTGAGCTTGGTTGTAATGCTCTGTATTTTGAAGAACCTGATCAAAATCGGTGCAGTTCACAAAATGAAAAGTAAAATGAAAGCTGTTGTGAAGTTTCTAAGCATGGTCATGATGAGGGTGGTGATGCTCATGATGTTAGTCACGCTTGTGGTGATGATGATTGGAAAAACAACGATAATAGCAATGATGTGCTGGGTTATAACTAGCATGTTCTGTATTTTGTAGAACTGATCAAAATAACAACAAAGGCACTGACATGAATGTCATCATGAACGGTACATGATGGACTGTGTGCTCAAGAAAATGGCACTGTTATATGAAATCTTTGGTAAAAAATATTTCAGTTAAATTTAACAACGGGAACACTTCCAAATGATCGCAAAATAGCGAAAATTATACCGATATCTAAAAGTGGTGATTCACAGTCCTTTAGTAATTACAGACCTATTTCGTTGTTGCCCTGTTTATCTAAAGTTCTTGCAAGACTTATCGTCAATCGAATAAGTTCAATGATGATAACAAGATCTTAGATCACTCACAATATGGATTACTTATGCCGATTACTCAACTCATATGGTACTGACAAAATAACTTCATATTTATGTGGGAGTCCCGATATTATAGGACACCGCCGTTGCGTGTGGTGTGTTTGTCGTGAGAGGGTTTTCTCTATGACACTGCGCGCTATTGCGTGCGGAGGGACTTTCCCTCAATGAGCAATATTTTCGCGTAAACTGGGCGATGAGAAATCCGGACACATGCGCATGCATGCGATAATTATTTCCAATAAGGATCCAGATGGAAATTATAACATATTAATAGTGCCACAACAAGCCAGGTTAGTCAAACTACTTTTCTAGGGGTAATCATAATAGATAACAAGCTTACATTGAAAAATCATTGTTATTATATACAAAAGAATGCGCTGCTTTGTATGTTAAATACGTTTATCTCTATATAGCCTAAACTGTAATATGGAGTACTAAAATTTTGTATATACAAATATATCGTTCAAAACGCTTCGCTCTCTTAATTTCCTTAAAGAATAATAGTACATGTAGTATTAGCCTATACTAATAAGTAAAACAATTGTAATATCTTATTATTTGGTAATTATTATCACTTCATAATGGCAAGCCCGGGCTACCACTGATTTTCAGTTTGTGTGTTGATGAGCTTCGATTTTTGCTGAATTAGAAAGTGTCTCGGGCAGCTATCAATAAAGAGATAGTTTAATAACCTTATGTTCAACTGTCATACCAATTCACGAGCTGTAAACGGTTTTTGTGTGTGTTAATTTTAAAAAAAATCATACTGCGCACCCGCAGAGGTACGAAAGCCCATTAGCGCCACTGCAAGTATATATGTTACAGATTGTGTAATTCGTTATTATACAAATAACGAATGTTTGTGAGTGTGATGGTAAGAATAATTTCATGAGGTGACAGATTGAATGTTCTATTCCACGAGGCGAAGCCGAGTGGAATAGAACATTCAATCTGTCACCGAATGAAATTATTCTTTCCATCGCACGAACGTAAAACATTCGTTATTTGTTTTATACAACACCTGAATAAATTCTCGTCATTTGATTGGTAAATTATAAACTACAATTTATTTTGATTTTAAAGATGTTGAACTACCCCTTCACGAAAATGTTTGAACCCAACGCTGTAGCGCTGGCTCTTTGGAACAATACGCGCTACGCTGAACGCGCACACCAGCATGCATTTTGCACGCAAATACCGCGTCATGGAACAAGCGCAAAGTGAAACGGTATAACGCATGGGTATAACGCATGGTCGCACCGTGCATTATACCGAATAATAATATGTCACGTGATCTACAATTCACCAATCAGATGACGGGGATTTATTCAGGTGTTGTATAATACGGATTATTAATTCGTTATTACGGATTATTAATTCGTTATAACGGATTATTTAATTCGTTATTACGGATTATTAATTCGTTATTACGGATTATTTAATTCGTTATTACGGATTACTAATTCGTTATAACGGATTATTTAATTCGTTATTACGGATTATTAATTCGTTATTACGGATTATTAATTCGTTATTACGGATTATTTAATTCGTTATTACGGATTATTAATTCGTTATTACGAATTAGGTCTGATGTTCTCACACGTGGAGAGCACGTGACCAGGGGCCTGTGTATATAGCGCCGCTAGGCGGCGCTATCTTTGCATACAACGTTTGCACTCCTGTGCCATACTTGCCGAGTAATGACTCAGAACGTATGAGTAATTCGTAATAACGAATTAATAATCCGTAATAACGAATTAATAATCCGTAATAACGAATTAATAATCCGTAATAACGAATTAATAATCCGTAATAACGAATTAAATAATCCGTTATAACGAATTAATAATCCGTAATAACGAATTAATTAATCCGTAATAACGAATTAATAATCCGTAATAACGAATTAATAATCCGTAATAACGAATTAATAATCCGTAATAACGAATTAATAATCCGTAATAACGAATTAAATAATCCGTTATAACGAATTAATAATCCGTAATAACGAATTAATAATCCGTAATAACGAATTAAATAATCCGCAACATATATACTTGCAGTGGCGCTAATGGGCTTTCGTACAGAGGTGATCCAATCAACGGTTTTTTTTTAATGGGAACTAGCTACCGGTCCCCATAATATGGGACCGGGAACCAGTCTACCCTAACTATTGCTTTCTCAACGTTGAGGGGGTATACGCGGATACGCTAGTACATGCACTTGAGTATACGCGTATCCCATAGCATAGGCTGTTCCAACATCGCGGGCCTTTGTATGTATAAATTGACGTGAGATTTTTAGTTCAACAATGGAAAGCGCATTTCTCCTTTGATTTAATAATGCCCACACCTAGCTACCAATTTAAAATGCAAGGACAACATAGCTCTTGTAAAATTATGTCTTATCCGAATTTTGTCGTGTGTTGAGCCTCATACCGTACTATTTGGCAATGTCTGGAAATTCCCCACACTATATTTGGCTGTTGCAACATCGTGGGGAATTTTTATTGACATGAAATTATAGGTCAAAAATGATTTGTGTTATGTATGCCCATGCATTATATAGAGTGTTTGAGTTCATGGGCTGCATAATGAGAATGGACTGTGGTGTGGTGTTCCACGACGGTTTCAAAGTACGTCTTCAATTATATTGCGTGCATGGTCAGCTACAGTAGGCCTGCATTATACAAGAATATATATTTATGCCAGAATACGTGAGTATTATGGGATATCATTTTTATTATGATGTGGGTGTGTGATTGAGAGAGTGCAGGTATACACAGACGACCATGTATGCACTCTCTCAACTTCACCCGACACCGTAAATGAACCGAATGTTGTCAAACTAGTCCAACCATGCATGGGCTGTGAACATTCGGTTCAGTAACGGATCTGGGGGGGGGGGGGCGCATGGATGACTCCTGTCAGCCTCTGACTCATGTTATAATACCAGTAAAATGGGCCCAGAATTCAAAATGAAATGTTTTAATTAGTTCCTAAATTTATTCTCAAATAGCCTTAGAATGCAGGAGAAACATCGTAGATTTCAAGATTTGCTCTACACTCAACCTCCCTCCCCCCTTCGTATCACCCCATCCCCGTTTCCGTAAAGAAAGATCCGCCCTGTAGTACATGTATATCCCAGATAATAGGATCTGGAGTGCATAAAAACATGCAACAAAAATCTAGCCAACTTTGCTCACTCTTTAGGTGTCAAAATTCCCCAAAATCTTCATGAGGTAAAACAAGGTCCTCAGCATTTCACCAGCCAATAAGTTTGAGGTCTCAATTCAATTTGGAAAGGAGCATTTTCTTCAACATTTTGCACATGAGAATGAAGCCAAGTGATTTCAATTTGAAGCCTAAAACTAGACTGGTACATGCCAAACTTTTTGGGGAAAAAATTATCCTTCATTGTAGTAGTCTGGTGGCATGACTATGGATAATATTTAAAATAGAGACTAGGTACCAGATGTTTCTTTTGACACAGTTGATTGATGCAGTACTAATTGGACTGGTTGTTTCCTGAGCAGTGGCAGCACCATATTTCCCCCTTTTTTTTGGGGGGGGGGGGAGCAAGTGAAGTGCAAAGAAGTATTTCTTTATGGGGAGGAAAAACTCAACGGCCCTAGAGAAATCGAAGGGTGGGGGGCTGACATCATTTGACGCTTGGGGCGCTTTTCAAAACCATTCATATAGCCCCGTTTTAGGGTCACTTATGAGGGTTTCCGTTTACATTAAATGTACAGTAAAATATTTACTTCGAGTCTCTTTTTAAAATTTTGTTTTACCTTATTTTTTATTTTATTTTTTTCGAAGTTTTTTGGGGGAGGCAAACTGTGGATGGGGAGGGGGGGGGTTCAACAATACAAGCGGGGGGGGGGGGGGTACTCTCATACACCCCCCCCCCCCCCCGTAGCGCCGCCACTGTTTATATGCCAGTCTATTTTCTTGTTTTGTATATATGTTTTCACTAAAAGTCCTGGGACTCTCATAAGCACAATATTCTAGAGTCCCAAATGTTTGGACTGCGTTCATCAAGACTGATTTATTTCAAGTGTAGAACACAGCAAATCTATTATGATTTCGGAAGTAACAATTATCCAATGCTATATTTCGATAGGACGACTGGGAACATTGAAAGCATGGCTGTAGGAGGGACGCACCGTTCGATTTTGATGAAGTTTGGCAAGGAACATCTACAGTGTTCAATTTGCCAAGACTTTCTCAAGACGCCGAAGACGCTATCCTGCCTGCACAGCTTTTGCGAAGAGTGTCTCTTTCTATACCAAAAATCGCCACAGCGAAGTATATTGTGTCCATTGTGCAGAAAAGAAACGTCAAGTCCAAAGGGGGGCGTCAGAAAACTTGTGACTGATTTCAAACTAGCTTGCATGATCGAAGAGGTGGTGCGAGCAAAAGACACTCAAACGATTCCGACTTGCAGCAGCCATGCAGGAAGGAAATGCGTGGTGTTTTGTGAGACTTGCTGCGAGCTGATCTGCTTAACCTGCCTTACAAAATCCAACCGCCACAGGAAACATGAAGTTGGAGAAGTCAGTCAAGAAACAGAGGTCGCCAGGAAAAGGCAACTCATGACAGAACATCAAGCAAAATACGAGGAAAAGCTAGCTGAGAACGATGTAGCATTAACAACCGCAGGAGTTTTGGGGAAGGACTTGTCAAAGGTGGTACAAAAATTGCGGAAGGAGGTGGAAGTAAAAGCAAACGAAGAGACTGCCAAAATCGCTGCTGCCAAGAAATGCTTACTGGATGATATACATCAGTTTGAAAAAGAAAGAGAAAGACTGCTCAATGGATACACCGAAGATCTCAAGTCCAGAAAGGAAACTCTGCAGCAAATTATTGGCCACTCCGAAAATGTACTGCATTTGTGCAATGACTACGAATTTCTCCGAGGGTTCTCGAGAGTGAGCTCTGACCTTAGAGTTTTTACTGCCCATCCTGATCCGAACATTGACGAGAACGTATCGGTACTAGAGTTCAGGCCATCTACCCCATTAGGAAGTACTTACCTTGGAAGCTTACTCAGGACAACACAGTGGAAGTTGAGGGCAGAATCCAGTCACTCGAAGAATAGTGGTGGCAGAGGTGTTACTACTGGGCGTGATGGAAGTGTCCTCGTAGCTGACTTGTGGAATAGACAAATTGTTACATTTGCATCCAGCGAGAGCCTTCCAACCTTTAAATCCATAAAAACACGTAAGCTACGCAGTAACACAATGACATTATGGTTATAAAAGAAAAGAGGGCTTCGACTTACGCGGGGACTATATTGGGGTTCATTAAAGTTACTTGATATTCATTTCAGAAGACTTCGATTGCGTTTGAAAATCATTTGATTCAAAAGTCTAACCGAGTTATTCCATGAATGGTGGCAACTGAATGCATATGTTGTATCCGTTATTCAGCACACTCTTTAAAAAATTATGTATGGATGCTAAACAGGTAATGTATTTTCTTCGTTTTATAAAGCGACCTATACATGATAATTCTATTCCGCTCTTTTTTCAGGTCCGCGAGATGTAGCAGTGACTAACCATCATTTAGTGGTTGTAGATGATACTGCTTTTGTGAAGATGTTCTCACTTACCGAGAGTGGGGCGCATTTTCAATTCCCCACCGTGCCTTGCGAGGTTAGTAATGACCACGTAGATCTCCGAAGTGTAGCTGTTGATGGAAGTGGCCACATCGTTGTTGGTGATGTCAAGAGAAAAGTTCTGACGGAGCACAAACCCAGGGATGGCGCCATCGTTCGGGTACTGCAGTTGGAAACACCACCGGAGTTCCTGGCTATTAACAGCGTGTCTCATACATTGGTTTCTGGTGAGTACAGTGGTATCGCACAGGGAGTTAATCAGGGCGATACCGTGTTCACCATCATGCCGACCATCAAAGGCACAAGGGTGCGATGCTGCACCGGAGTGTCCTGGGGCAAGCATGGGCTCATCTACATTGCCATGCACAACAAAACCACTGGCAGTGGCCATGTTCACATGTACGACGCATTAGGTCGGTTTGTTAAATGCATCATACAGGGGTTGTACCTGCCCCAAGGCATTGGCCTGACTGAGGATGACAAACAAATTGTCGTGGCGGACTACGACAACATTAAAGTGTATACAAAAGAGAATCTCCAAACATGAACTTCACCAGCACAACATCGGCTCGTTAAAATATGCTGGGCGTACTCTTCAGCAATCATTTTAGAAATTACTCTCCTAACGAATTTTGGCCTGTTCTAACTGGACAATAAATGCTTTTATCAATTACAGGTGTCCGGAACCCCCTGAAAAGAGTTTTTTATATTTTGTTATTACTCCCATGCACAGAAACAAATCTGCCTTGCGAGTAGACTGGTTCGTGCTTCCCACATTATATACATGTTTTGTATTTAAAAAAAGGCGTCGGAACCAATCTACCCTGCGAGAACTAAATTATTGTAGGGCTGCAAATATCTCAAAATTTGTAAAGTAATTATTGCATGACTGAACGTGTATCGAATTTTTCTTTCGGTCGATATCTCATCCTAAATGTAATGACTTTTGTTCAGTTAAAAACATTCTTTACCCCGCTATAGGAAACTTTGAAAAAATGCACAAGGGTGCAGTACATCTGTAATTCATTTATTCTCCAATTATAGATAAAAGCTAGTTAACAAAAAGTCAGTCTGTTTTTAGTGAAGTTTAAAATGTTTACTAAAGTTTAGCTTATCGCAGAAATCAATAGATTCATAATAGATTATGCATATATATGCAACATCTATATCGAGTGAAATGTATGACACCAGTAGTTTAAAAATACAAATGTAGGTCAAAGAATATTTGAAAAAGAAATAACTAAGTATGGCGAATAATTTGATCAATAATCAAAAGCTGGAACCCTGTCAACAGCTAGCGCAACAATCGTCACGAATTAAACACACTAGGCAATCAGCTGTTGTTTGATTGAACCTGCTTCGAGATCATTTTAAATGAACTCGTATACTTCGTAAAGACAAACAAAATGTATTGTATAAGTACAGAGCTAAAATTAGAACATAATTATTCCATTTTAAACGGCATAATCATTCAAGGAGTATTTATTACAACCCTTGAGAAAGGAGGATAAGACAACCACTTGGCTCCTTTTAGACTGGTTTCAAGTTTGTTTTATAAAGGGTTCCCTTGAAAAAAAGTAACCGTCAACAAAGCATGTCTATAACACTCCCGAGAAAATACTGCACGTATATTAAAACTGCTTTAGAATAAATCATAACTTTTTGTAAAATTTCCCCATAACATAAGAAAGCGGTTTTGCTCCCGCAATTTTTGTTTTTCATTATGAATACAGAGGTGTTTAACAACGTTGTCACTGGTGGAAGTGTGGTAAATCCAGTAGCTTACTCACGGTCTCCGATTGGAACTTGTCAACAGTTGTGTACAATTTCAGGAACAGGGGCCAGAATTTAAATGTTTGTGATTGGATAACTCATTGCATTGAGTTTATTACAAACTTTAATTCTTTATTACAAACTTTCCGAACAATGCTCCGAACAATGCTTCATTTAACTTGGCTTGAAGTTTGTTTCTTAAATACCTATTGAACAGTGTGGCAGCCTGCATATTCCCTTCACGTTGCGGTTGAATATTTCAAAAATACCGTCATGTACTTTGGGTGTGCCTCCGTTTCAAAATCAGAATAGACTGTATGCTACAAGGAGCTGAAGAAGAGTATAAGCCTAAGCCACAGTGGCGATATCCCATCAGCTAAACCACGGAAAAATATCGCGCTTCCTACAAAGCTGCAACCCAGAAAAATTAATATGAAAATTAAACTTAAGCTCTCATGCAATACAAACCCAAACCCGCAACTGTTTCAAAGGTCTAGTATGCTTCACCTTTCAAGGGTCAGGCTTCGATCATTGCTATTCGACAGCTTGGTACAACTGAACACTCTGGCGTGCAAAGTAAACATCAAGTCCCAAAATAGAGTTATATATAGAGATATTTGCACGAGCTATTACTATTCAAAATACCGAAATGTCTGTCAGTTTTCGGAAGAGCTCTAATAGAATTAGAATATCCCGGTTTGAATATTTCTATTTTCAGGATTACAGTTGACTTTGCACGCCATTCGACACATCTACTCGTAACACGCCAGTATATCAATTTCACAAAACAGTCGTTAAATGGTCCGTGCAATGAATTTTATACTGGAGCACATTTTTTTTGTCAAATGTCCATTCATCTAAAATGTATAAAAACTATGAAAATTTTGCAGTGCACTTTTAAAAAAACATTGAAAATGTTTCGAGCTGTTCCTTACAAATGAGGGCGCTGTTGCTGTGATGTTATTTTAGGACCACACTCTTCGCATTAGGGTTTTCTCTTCAAATAGTGAACCCGAAAAACTGCTTTTAGAAAACACTAAAATTTAACGTACATAAAACATTTTTCTCACTGTCTGACTGTCAAATACTAATACAACAATGAATAATAGCAAAAGAAAAACCACAGCGAACCCAAAGAACTCTGTAGACTTTTTATGCTGAAACAGATATGAAACCGGTGTCTGCCTTGAATTACATCACAGTTTTGCTCATGAATAAGGAAATTTGCATCAGAATAAAACCGAAAAGGTATTAAAATTGGCAATATGAATATTGTAAATAACGTTAAATTGGACATAAATGTATATTTCAAGGATTGCATTACGTGGGCCCTTTAATGTATCCTTACATGACAATCCTGTGCGAAGAGCGAATATTAGATCAAAGGCCAAGGAAACACCTTCGTATCATGCCATTTGTATATGCCTGTTCTAGAATATCATGATCCTCCTTCCCCAATGATTTGAAATTTAGTGTCACTATTCTTAAACTATAGGAAGGGGGACAGAGGATATGACACATCGGTTAGAGGTCGCCACGCACAGACTCAAACTTTACAGTCTCGTGAAAACCCAGTAGAAAGACGTGTGTCAAAGCGGACCAGAATTTTTCCCTGGCAAATTAAAGCCCCCTGCAAGCCACAGGCGTCCAGAAATAGCTGCTTGTAGATCGATGTTCATCTTAATACATGGTATCTTGCTGAAAAGGGGAAACGTGGACAGGAAATAAAGTCGAGATAAGTGAACCCTTTTTGGACTTTGTTGGTCAGGTTTCAACTGGCAACGCCTTGAGTCAGTTGCCCAGCATTTGTGTTGCGGAAAAAGTGACGGCCACGCAGGACCCGCCTGTCACTTTCTTACAATCTACGAGGATGTAAAACGTCTTAAGACATGCGTGTGATATGTGACGTACACGGCCTGCACAGGTGTGGTGAGTTTCAAGGAATAAAGTTCAATGTCTAAGGCCAAAAAAAAAGTCTCCGGTTTCTGGTATGGAGCTTGCCCAAAAAGTGGTGCGGCGACGAGGCTTTTTTTTTTTTTTTTACCTGTTTTTTTTTTTTGCTTCAAATGTCGGCTGATGACTGCAAATGGTGCCCGACTAAACTTAGTGCAAATATTATTTGCCACAGAGGCCACATAAAGCGTATTCTCGACCATAACCCAATCTAAAAACACGTCAAAATTGTGCAGCAGCAGGATTCCAGTCAATCCAGTGAGTTTGGCGGTTTCATCATCTTTCATTGAAAAAAAAAACTTTTTCATTTTGCCGACGCGCATGGCTACGGCGACGCGCGCGCATACCAGAAACCGGAGACTTTTTTTTTGGCCTGATGAAGTGGTGTGTTTTCTTTTTTGTTGTTGCATTTTTAATGATGGTATTAACAGGCCCTAGAGATCGAAAAGTAAAGTTTGCATATTGCTGAGAAGTCTAAAAAGTGCGATTCGGGGGATTTAGGAGTTACCAGGTAGGATGGGTGGGGGGTGTTGTAATATCCCCCTTCTCACTTTTGACAAGGGGGCGGGCCATTGGATCATTCCCCGTAGACACTTTTACGTTGTGAGAAACACAAAAAGACGGATCTTGAGGTCTTTTGCAGTAGCACTGAAAAACCGGAGAAAAAGGACACAAAAGCTTGAAATGCATCGTTTAGATGTAAGGTTAAGGCGCGTTATAAGATGTACAGCTGTACACGAACAGCGCCCCTACTAGTGTAAGACCGAAATTTAGACTGACCCTGAGCACACATCCCTGATACCACTCTCACAACAGGTGTTCCACATTACACCCAAGGTCTTCACGTCACTCTTTTCCAAGCAATACACCCACAGCATACCAAGACTGTGATTTAACCCTTGTACAGGGGAAAGTGACCTCATAAGGGTACTCCCCCGGACTGACCATTACGTCAGTCTATGGTCAGTCTACCTTTACTCAGAAATGATGTCATATAAGTTATGTTTTCCTTATATGACATCATCTCCTATTTTCACTCCAAGTGGTCCCTCTGAAACTGTATAAAATGTCCCCATTTTCCCACTTTCATGGAGTTCTTCTTCTTCTCCCTGGGAAACCAGAGGCATAGCCATAAGCTGATTCAGCCCTATGCTCTGGCCAGTCTTCATCTACAAAACTCTTCAGAACCTCTGTCTTCTGTCTCCAACTTCCGTTTTCTAGTACCCAGCCATACCCATAAGCTGATGCAGCCGTATGGTCTGAGGTTATAGTTCTGTACATACACAATACCGGTAGAATATTGAGTTCTTGAAAATAAACCAGTTTTCCATATAGCTGAGCTCATAGTCATTACCAGTGTGTCTTTGTATAGTCTTCGTAGTCATCTGTTCATCCTGCTCTTAGCCACAGCTACCCTATCCTAACATATAGTATAGTCAAACAACCCAAAGACTATAGCCAAATCTATATGTTACACTGGTGGCAGCGAGTGTTTACCCGCATAAGCCGATGAAGTGGCATCTCATCTGTAACTAACTTTGTCGCCTGTTCCTGCTGTTCCTGCTGTTCCTGCTGTTCCTGCTGTTCCTGCTGTTCCTGCTGTTCCTGCTGTTCCTGCTGTTCCTGCTGTTCCTACTTCTATTTCTACCGTTCCTGCTTCCAGTTTCTGCGTGTTCCAGTTGTCCTGCGTGTTCCAGTTTCCAGTCATCCTGTTTGTTCCCGATTTTACGGCTCGCCAAAGTCCCCCTTTCCACTTCCTGAGCCGTCTCCCTGTGGCTGATTTGACCTGTTCCAGCCTTTCTGCCCCTGTTCCTGTTGCCGCTACTGCCGTTCCTGTTGTCTGCAAGCCATCTCTCCGTGTCTCGACTCCTGTGTCTTCTCTTCCGAACTGTTCCTGTCTTCGAACTGTTCCTGTTTCTCACCTGTGTTCCTGTTCCTGTTCCTGTCATCCCCGTCCTCCGTTCTACTCATCGTCTTCTCAGCTGTGTCCACTCCAGCCAGTTCATCCAGTCCTGTATGCCAATCATCCCTATGGAGTGCATCACCGACTGACCAACGCTGACAGTGCCCAGCTGCAGACTTAATTCTTGCAAGTTCTTTTGTTTTTGCATATTTTTGTACCATTTTCCTTGTTTTATATACCATTTCCGTGTTGATTTCATCATAGTTTGTGCACATTGTTTATTTTAGCCACATTTCTTTGCAATTGATTATTGTTGTAGCCTTATCGTTCCCTAGGTTTATTAGTTTTATGTTTATTATCTCTACACTGCGTTTTATTGTACTGTACCACTTGCCCTCACCATGTCTCCTCCTCCCACGAGTAGTAGCTCCACCTCCCGCTTCCATTCCCATCACTATCCATGTTCCCTCCACCGCCACCCCCTAAACCTCCAGATCCGCCACAATTTCCTGCGTCCTCTCTCACACGATCAACTTCACCTCTACTTTCGACTGAGCCAATTCATTTGCGACCAACTCCAGCGTACAATTTCCAAAAATCCCCATCACTCTCTCCCGTTGTTCAGCGTACTCGCAGTGGTCGAGTTGTAACTCGCCCTATACGACTTGAGTTCCCCTCCAGTTCATATTATTAATTTTCCGTAGAATTTGTTTATTTGATCAAGTTGTGTAACTACATCCACGGCAATGTGTGTACATTTTCACAATATTCGTTGATTCAATTCATTACCCATTTATTTGATTTATAAGAAGTGCATTGTTCACTCCAATATATTAATGTCAATTTCACCAGATTATCCACTTATACCTAATATCCATCTATATTACTGATGTTTTGTCTTGTTTAACAACTTGTACTTCCTTGAATATTCTGTATATTTTTTTTCATTCATTGTTTTGAATAGTGTAACGACAATTCTGTGTATTCATAAGTTTAATATTCTTGCACACGCATAGAAAATAAGCAATATTAATTTGTTTTTGTTTAACTCAATGCTTTATTTTATGTAACAGTAATTCATTCATTTTTATACTTTGAAAATGAGGACATTTTCTTCCCCAAGAGGAAAGTAAATGTAAGACCGAAATTTAGACTGACCCTGAGCACACATCCCTGATACCACTCTCACAACAGGTGTTCCACATTACACCCAAGGTCTTCACGTCACTCTTTTCCAAGCAATACACCCACAGCATACCAAGACTGTGATTTAACCCTTGTACAGGGGAAAGTGACCTCATAAGGGTACTCCCCCGGACTGACCATTACGTCAGTCTATGGTCAGTCTACCTTTACTCAGAAATGATGTCATATAAGTTATGTTTTCCTTATATGACATCATCTCCTATTTTCACTCCAAGTGGTCCCTCTGAAACTGTATAAAATGTCCCCATTTTCCCACTTTCATGGAGTTCTTCTTCTTCTCCCTGGGAAACCAGAGGCATAGCCATAAGCTGATTCAGCCCTATGCTCTGGCCAGTCTTCATCTACAAAACTCTTCAGAACCTCTGTCTTCTGTCTCCAACTTCCGTTTTCTAGTACCCAGCCATACCCATAAGCTGATGCAGCCGTATGGTCTGAGGTTATAGTTCTGTACATACACAATACCGGTAGAATATTGAGTTCTTGAAAATAAACCAGTTTTCCATATAGCTGAGCTCATAGTCATTACCAGTGTGTCTTTGTATAGTCTTCGTAGTCATCTGTTCATCCTGCTCTTAGCCACAGCTACCCTATCCTAACATATAGTATAGTCAAACAACCCAAAGACTATAGCCAAATTTATATGTTACACTAGTAGGTTTATTAGTTTTATGTTTATTATCTCTACACTGCGTTTTATTGTACTGTACCACTTGCCCTCACCATGTCTCCTCCTCCCACGAGTAGTAGCTCCACCTCCCGCTTCCATTCCCATCACTATCCATGTTCCCTCCACCGCCACCCCCTAAACCTCCAGATCCGCCACAATTTCCTGCGTCCTCTCTCACACGATCAACTTCACCTCTACTTTCGACTGAGCCAATTCATTTGCGACCAACTCCAGCGTACAATTTCCAAAAATCCCCATCACTCTCTCCCGTTGTTCAGCGTACTCGCAGTGGTCGAGTTGTAACTCGCCCTATACGACTTGAGTTCCCCTCCAGTTCATATTATTAATTTTCCGTAGAATTTGTTTATTTGATCAAGTTGTGTAACTACATCCACGGCAATGTGTGTACATTTTCACAATATTCGTTGATTCAATTCATTACCCATTTATTTGATTTATAAGAAGTGCATTGTTCACTCCAATATATTAATGTCAATTTCACCAGATTATCCACTTATACCTAATATCCATCTATATTACTGATGTTTTGTCTTGTTTAACAACTTGTACTTCCTTGAATATTCTGTATATTTTTTTTCATTCATTGTTTTGAATAGTGTAACGACAATTCTGTGTATTCATAAGTTTAATATTCTTGCACACGCATAGAAAATAAGCAATATTAATTTGTTTTTGTTTAACTCAATGCTTTATTTTATGTAACAGTAATTCATTCATTTTTATACTTTGAAAATGAGGACATTTTCTTCCCCAAGAGGAAAGTAAATGTAAGACCGAAATTTAGACTGACCCTGAGCACACATCCCTGATACCACTCTCACAACAGGTGTTCCACATTACACCCAAGGTCTTCACGTCACTCTTTTCCAAGCAATACACCCACAGCATACCAAGACTGTGATTTAACCCTTGTACAGGGGAAAGTGACCTCATAAGGGTACTCCCCCGGACTGACCATTACGTCAGTCTATGGTCAGTCTACCTTTACTCAGAAATGATGTCATATAAGTTATGTTTTCCTTATATGACATCATCTCCTATTTTCACTCCAAGTGGTCCCTCTGAAACTGTATAAAATGTCCCCATTTTCCCACTTTCATGGAGTTCTTCTTCTTCTCCCTGGGAAACCAGAGGCATAGCCATAAGCTGATTCAGCCCTATGCTCTGGCCAGTCTTCATCTACAAAACTCTTCAGAACCTCTGTCTTCTGTCTCCAACTTCCGTTTTCTAGTACCCAGCCATACCCATAAGCTGATGCAGCCGTATGGTCTGAGGTTATAGTTCTGTACATACACAATACCGGTAGAATATTGAGTTCTTGAAAATAAACCAGTTTTCCATATAGCTGAGCTCATAGTCATTACCAGTGTGTCTTTGTATAGTCTTCGTAGTCATCTGTTCATCCTGCTCTTAGCCACAGCTACCCTATCCTAACATATAGTATAGTCAAACAACCCAAAGACTATAGCCAAATTTATATGTTACACTAGTACTGTGGTGTGGTGTCCACGCCAAAACAAACCAAGATAGGGGTGTCTTGCAAGACTTGCAAGACACCCCGGCACAGATTTACGTCACTGGGAGTTAGAACTGATATAGTATTGCACTTTGAAGTGCATGGAAATATATAAACAATATGCCAAGGGATCGTACAGGGAGGGAGTGACTGAGACGGTACAATGCTGGTATTGGTCACTTGCTGATGGTATGCATAACGAATCCGGTTACGTGAGTACTGTCCACTTCCGAGGCCCCCTTCAATGGAGAAACCTTTATATGCACGCTATAAACGAAGGGGGGGGTTGATGGCCTGCAGCCTGCAGACGTTTGTGATGTGGCAAATGTACAGGGTGACCAAAAAAATGCAACCCTGAAATATTTGCCTTTTTTTTTCAAAAACGTGCACAGTGAATTGTTACGTTTTGGGTATCAGATTGAAGAAGAGGGCTTTTTCTTTCAAATACTGAAAAAAATTCATTAAACGGCACATTGGGTTGCTGAGAAAATGCCAATTATGTGATAACAAGTGATTTTTCATCCTTTCCAATGGTGCTTCAAGTAGTGAAATATTTACTGTAAGCCCTCTGTGCAATTGTCTTTCATCTTTGGAATGTCCTTAATATTTTGACATATTTATGATGCTGAAACGGTTTAAATTACGAGTGCAAGGCAGTGGCATATCGGGGGGGGGGGGGGGGGCAGAGGGGGCACTCTGCCCCCGGCGGCTTTTTTAACAACTTTTTTTGCTCAGTAATTATTTTAATAAATGGTTTAGATAGTTCTGACATCAATCCCCGGAAAGAAAACCGCAAAAAAAATACAATTCGCCGTGAAAATGGGTATATAATTATCATTATTCATAGTAATGGTCAGTTTTGAAGGGCGCCCCCATTTGGAAGATGGGAACAAGCCCCCCCCCCCCCCCCCCCATGGCCGGAGAAAAAAAAACATGTCAACATTTCCATCGAATTTGTTTGCACTATTTTCATGTGCCGTGTTGTTTGTAAGGATAAGAGCACAATATGCGCTAAATGCATTTCATTCACATAGTGTAATTCTCTTAACTGTTGCAATGTCATGGACCAAAAAGGAGTTGTGTTGCCATAAATAGTTGCCATAATTGCCTTTTTTTTCAGAAACCCAATGTGCTATTTTCATGATTTTTTTTCTGTTTTTGAATGAAAAAGCTCTCAGCTTGAATCAGATACCCAAAATATAACAATACACGGATCACGTTTATGAAAAAAAGGGCAAAAGTTATAGGGTTGCAATTTTTTTTTTTTTGGGGGGGGGGGGGGGGGGGGTCACCATGTATATCAACCCTTGGTCGGTTAGCTTTTTTTTTTGCAAAGGAAGTCGATTGCAACAGCACACAGGTGAACGGGATGACTCGTTGCATTTGACCGGCACGCCAGCGAGGCACGCCGGTACCCGGTGCTGCGCCGGTACACGCTATGAATCACGTAGTTGACATTCAACTTTCCTCTAATTGGAGACAAACTTGACACTTAGTCATGACCTCTTGAGAAAAAAAGTAGGCATAACTCGTATTATTTTCTGCATAAACCGTATGCATGTATAGGTCATTCGATTGGGTTCAAAGTGTGACATTTTTTTCTGTCCCTGTTACCTTGGTACTTTGTAATTTGCCATTCAAGTATTATATAAAGAATGACCTTTTTTACATTCTACCCACGCTCTGAGGACGACTGCATTAAAGGGAATGTACATCGTTGGCTTTCGCTGTAATTTGCAGAAATGAACTAGTTGAGGGGTAGTATAATAGAACAAAATATTGTTACACTGACATGTTTGAAGTTTTGTGTCCGAAAATGCTTGAAAAACCAAGAAAAACAAAAATGTTCAAGTAGTCTGGTTCCCTGACTCCACTCAAAATGAAATGGATCAATTTATAGATGCCGGAAAATTGTAAGATAAGGGAACAAGTCTAGCTGGCCTGCACCCGTTCATGAACATGTAACCAATAGCAAACACAATTTGGACTGAAACAAATGGTACATATAGAGCAGTAGTTGAAAAATAGTTAGGTTTTTCCAACGGTGGTCGGCCGACCACCGTTGGAAACGCATACAAAAATACCATTTTCTTGAAAATGACTTCACACCAGGTGCCATAATTTTACAGAATGCTTCAGACTGTCATTTACCAACATCCTAGTAAGGTATTTCGTAAAAACTTGGTAGTAATTTTTCGATGTTTGCAAATGTTGTATTTTCCCTTTAAGGAGTGCTCCAGAATTATAACATCATCGATGTCAGATGTAGTAGGGATGGAAAAAAGTGGATCGGACCAAACATTTAAAAAATTACCCATAAGGACAATATTATCATCTGGGTGAAAGGGGCATGATTTTGCAGATTCAATAATGTTAAAGTTCGATTATGGAAAACAACAGTGCCGAAATGACACACTTCTTCTTAATATTGTACACTTCTCCAGGTGTGCCGCACATGATCCGGTTATAGTATGACATCCATGTTCGAGCCCTCCATTGCCCCCCCCCCTTATAAAATCTACCCTGATGTCAATGGCGTCAAGCGTCCCTCTGCTAGGCTTGTGCACCTCCCCCCCCCCCCTGCGTCACCTGCTCTTACTTTTGCCGGGGTCATTTTTTTAAAAATGTTAAACACCCATTGGTTCCCAGGTTCGCACTGCCTATTAACGGCAAAATATCCGAATGCCCCAAATTTCTGTCCCAGTCTCATTGCGATCCTTCCGATTTCTTGCAGTGCATAATACGCCTATGAACTTTCTCATCGAGTGTTACGACTAAGCAAGAATGAAGAGCAGAACACGTCACCTTCTTCTCGTGGTTGCACTGCAGCTGGTGCCATGGACACTTGCACAGTATCAACCTCCGTTTAATCCTAATACATGTAAGTGATAACTTCCTGATTCACTTCAAGATGGCTAGGTACAGAAACACAAGCAAATTAAATAGCGCCCTCACTGACGTTTCAAGACGAACCTCGATCGTTATTTGTACCAATTAAGCGTTCAACTCTTGACCTCTATTCTGGTTCATAAAAAAATTGTGACAGAAACAAGGGCATCACAAAAGCAACAATATGGTGTTCTTTAATGGACGTTTATTAAATGTTTTTTTGTGGTGGCCCTTTTGGTACACCGTACTGGCAACGAATTATTGGTCCTTTTTAAACTTTTCTTTCGGTTATTGACTGTTTGTTGTCGATCTACTGGTATTTATTTGGGACTGAAGACGTCCGTATCTCCCCACCGGATGGCATTCAAAGCCTGCAGGGGCTACATCAGAAGCTCCGGTGTGATGCCAGTTACATGGGGGAACCAGTCGACGTTTTCTGGTACAAGAATGACCAGCTAATGCTGGATACCAACCCAAGGTAGGTTGACGTTGAAAGCAAAAAAAAAGACAACAATTTCGACATTTATTCTGGCAGAGCGTGCGTGGGCAACACTCACGTAGAAAGGCTTGCGAAAAGGCGAGATCAGTAGGCCCTAAGCATGCGCAGTCTGCAGAACGTTTGAATAGTCCAACTCGCTATAGCATTCAAATTTATGAGCGCATGCGCAAAAGCAAGTATCCGAGGCAGGGAGCGCAATCAGTGATTTTCAATGCGTGAGAGTACGAACGTTTTGAGATTGGTCGAATTTCTCAAATTCTGGTCCGTCAGGCCTTTTCGGCTCCAAAATCATTAGTATTAATCATTAATAATACAGCCATTTTACATATAACACCTTACAAAATTACTTTCTCAGCATTTTGTGATCATCAACCATTTAAATGAGTTAAAGAAATAAACCGCATCCTCTTGTTTGTTGACTTGTCTTAAACATGCAGACTTCCCATAGACGAGTCCACCAACCGAATGGACACGGCGTCCTTCACGATACTGACCATCTTGAGCACTAGGGTCTCCGATAGCGGGCGCTACAGCTGCCGCATGATGCCCCCTGGCAGGGGAGTATCTACTGTGGTAGTCGCTGTATATGAACGTACGTTTTTCAAGTGTATTTTCAGATAAGAAATACCCACACCCCGAACATAATTGTTTCACAATCTCTTCTTGTAATACCAAAAGATGAGCCATATCATGCTCACAGTGTACGTTTACAAAATACACGCGTTGAATTCTGAAGGCCAATAGATAATTTTAATAAAGCTATTTATGGTGTCAAAAGTAAACAATTTGAAATAAATTCGAGATAGTAGGAAGGCAATATGTGAAGAGAGTGAAGTCTGTGCAGCAACCCAAAAGAGCTCCCTTCTACTTGGCTATTATCTCAAAAGGCTTACAGGATGTTATGCCAGATGGACATTGTACCTAGCCCGGTAGTAACACGTCCAACACAAGACTTCATTACAAGTCATGCAGTCCCACTTTAAGGTGACGTGTTATTGAAATGAACCCTGACATTGACATTCCTTTTTCACTTTTCGTCTCCTTTAACCCGATAATCTATACTTGCGATTTACTTGTGATTTGACTTGTGATTGACTCGTTATCGATTCTATAGTGGTGTTCCCTAACGTGACGCGCGCACTTCGATGTTTCCCACGTCCTTCCTCATGCAGTGTTGTCAAACCTCTTCGTTGGCAAACTTCAAACTCATTCAGTTAAATACTGGCACATGTACATTGTACTTTCATCTTAACAATGCCTGATGTTGAACCTTTGTAAACAATTTCAGTGTCATGAAATTAGTCCGAAATTCAAAAACGGTCACGTCCGGAAATTGGGCATAACATCGGCTGAAATATTTATATTTTTAGTTGATAAATTCTGATAAAGCATTATTATCTGATACCGGATGAGAAGTTTGTCAGACAATAATTTTCTTATTTTGGGGTGTATTTTCATAGGGTTCACTGTGCACTTCGAAATAAAATCGAAAAATCACGTCAAAATAAATATCTACGCTAACTTTGGGCACATGAAGTCACGGTTTATGAACGGGAATTTGTAGAGCTTGATGAAATTTGAATTTTTCTATACTGTAAAATTTCAGGAAAAAAATATTTGTTCTAGCAAGGCGCGATAGAGGCGAAAAATCAAAGTGCGCCACGTTAGGGGCCGCGCAACATTATGGTTAATTAATAACGCTATATTAATCGTGAAATGCATATGCTGTCAAGTTTGACCTCCAGAGTTCATAACAAGTCCATCACTTGTCCTGTCACATTTGGGATGAACAACGAAGACATGATGTTGTTATAGTTCAAGTTGTGACATGACTTGAGACTTGGAGTACTGTTTTTGAAATATTTGTGCTCGACTTATGAGGACTGGCGATGGACTTGACTCCAACATCGTTTCGCAATACATTGTGTATTTCGTTTTTCTTATACTGCTCAATGCAGACCCGATGGTCATCGGGAGCCCCAGCCAGTTGCTTGTTCCAGGCGAGAACATGACGCTGACGTGTCAGATGGTACCAGACCTAACGGACCACGGAGGCAAATATTTCTGGCACAAAGAAGGTCGCTTCATAGGCACAAGGGTAGGTAGGTGACACTGTGACAATTAAGTCAACGTGAAAGCAGACTTCGCAGACTTCAACTCTGTCTTTTCATCTTACCTGTACCATCATTACACATCATCACTTTCACCCATCGTTTGCATAATGAGCCATTTTGTTTTCAAATTGATATTTCGTCCCCGATTTGGCTTCGTTCGTAGCTGGCAACCGAACTATTTCTGAACCTTAACATTTGTGTTTCCAGCCAATAAATTTGTCGGTACTTGTCCTTCGATTTGATGCTCTTAAAGCAGGAAATGGTTCTCCAAAATTGGGAAGTGGGAGCCCTACGCCGAAGACGAGAAATGGCCAAAGTCATCATAACTGCGCAAATTCGAACAAAAACTATTGTGTTTGTCCAAGATTTGCAACGCTTCCGTGTATACCTCAAACGCTTGTTAGATGACGTTGGTTCGACTTAAATCCAGTATACTATTCAAGACCAGCCGCTCTAGATTTGTCATAATGCTGGTTATCAATAGCTGCTGATATCTTGTACAGCAATTAGGAGCAAGAACTCGGAAGTTTTGTGATTCATGCAGTTCGTCATGGGATCCTTTGCTATTTGTTCTCGGCTCGCAGACGCAAAGTGCGTCACAATACGGGCGATTCACAATAGTGCGCCTCCAAGAGTTTGCAACGCGTTGGCCACTCACAATGCGCGAAATCAGTCGACCTTTTCCAAACGTGCATTGGGTCGACCGATTTTGCGCATTGTGATTGGCCAACGCGTTGCAAACTCTTGGAGGCGCACTATTGTGAAACGACCGTATTCATTGAATTCAGCCACTGCTCATTCTTTCCTGTTCTTTTGTAGTCCCCACATCTTGAATTTTTCATAGCATTGTGTTTTAAAGTATCAATACCCACGTGATATAGTCATCGCGATTTTTTGGGCGTCTTTTCTGCCTACATTATTCCCAAAATCGTAACTTTGTCATATCTTACAGGGTTTGATTGATGTGGATTCGAACGGTTCACCAGACGTTTACATAACACCCAATGGTAACCTGACCATCTTCAACCCGCTGCCAGTCTTCGGTGGGACGTACACCTGCCGTATCAGGTACAACGTCAACGGTAAAACCAACTACGTATCCGGCGACATCAAAGTCTTCGGTAAATTGCTTTTTTTTTTTCGACTTTCAAATCTATTTTTTTTCTCTCAGCAACACATTTTGTGCGACTTTCTGCTTCTCGTAAATTATGTATGAAAACTATTTGACGTTCGTTTTAGGTTAATTGTATGTAGAAGTGCACTTCTTTAAACATTTACACATGTTCCATACTTTTCCGGACAACTGAGGGCGATGTTGCTGTGATGCCATCTCAGTAAGACACTGTTCAGTTGAGAGCTTTTCTGTTCAAATTGTAAACTCGCACATGTTTGCTCATTGGCTAAAAAATTGCAACATTCAGATTGTTTACGTGAAATGACATCACACTTTTGCTCATGAATATGGGACTTGACATTTGCAATTGCATAAATATAAAAAAAAAAACACCAAATGCCTTTGAAAATGGCAAACCGAAAATGAAAATATGGTTACATGGGACACAATTGTATTTTCAGGGATTGCATTGAAAATTAGTGATTATTAAAAAAAAAATACTGTGAATTTGATGGGCTTTTTTTTATTTAAATCGCTCATCCAGTCAACACCACAGTTCACACGGAGCCCTACAATTGGTACAACGTCAATTCCAGGCGCCCTCTACAGCTGCAGTGCATCGTTGAGGGATTCCCTTACGCTGACGTCTATTGGAGTCACCAAGGCAACCGAATCTGGGGGACCGACGCGCGCAATAACGTCACGCTGCTGACCAGGCCGCTGGATCACGTGACCATGCTCTCCACACTCTCCATCCGGGTACTTTCGAGAAACTTCAACGTCACCCACTACACGTGCACTGGTACCAATACTTTTGGCACGGACCGAAAGGTGGCAGCGATAGTTAACACTGGTAATTACTTTAAAACGTTTTGGTTAGTTTAATAACAATGGATACACAAGAGATTTACTCAATCGTATCCCCATGAACAAAAACACAGACCTCAAAAATGGATTCAATGCAAAGGATCTATTCCCTTGTTCTCTCTAAACTTCCATTTATATATTTTTCGTATCATTCTTTTTAAAAAGACACTCTTGTCAAATGAATAGACTAAAAGGACTTTTTCCGCGGGGAAGTTATTCAATGACTGAACCATCGCGTAATTTTAAAAAGGTATAGAGAAGGTTCCGCATCTGAGCAACGTTGCTATAGTTCCGCTGCTAACTTAAGCCATGTTTGGAAAAGAAGATTTCTTTTTGTCCCGAGGCGTCTTGGTGAACTTTAAAATTTGGTAAAGAATATTACATTTTATCAGGCGTTTTTCTTAAAATGTCGGCATTTTCGTTTTTCAGGGAGAAGAAAACAACCTCCTCAGAACAAAATGCACGCTTCATATTTCAGGCCATAATTATTGGCTTTTTGGGGTTTTTTTGCCTTGTGTAAAGTAAAGTTAAGTCTGTCCGAGCCAATGTGGCCCATCAGGCCGGCGTCTATCTCCGGTTTCAGTAGACTGAGAATATTTTCTATTCCCCCCTTGGACGGGATGCTAGTTCATCGCATGTTAGGAGCGAGGTAAAGTGAGGATGAAGTGGCTTGCCCAAGGACACAACATATGGTCAGCAGCTGGATTCGAACCCTTGACTCTCTGATCATGAAACACAAACCCTATTAACCAGGCCACATTCCCCCTGTGTGCTAGATGTTAATTATACACATAATATTCTGCTTTTTATGCCCTGGCATTTTTATCGTTTGGCAACCCTAAATCTTAATTAACTTCTCTATTCTTCCCCCTCCTTTCCTCCACAGAGCAAGTCTTCAGCCCATTCGGGATCGGAGCTTCATCACTCGTGATGCGATCAACCGTTCTCTACTGTTTAGCATTTGTCCTCTGGGTTCTTCTGATTGTTTAACTGCCAGCACACATTATGTGTCATTTCTAGCTATGTTATCCATCAATAGTTGCCTTTGTGTGCGTATACATGTATATAAAAGTTAAGATGTTATGAAGCATACTGCTTCTTGTCAAGGGCGGATCTTGGGGGGGGGGGGGGGGGGGGGGCAACGGGGATCATGCCCCCTCTCCCCCCCCCCCCAAAAAAAGAACCCATTTTTTTTTTTTTTAAGTGACGTCGCAATAAAGGCAGGCGCTGCGTACACCACCATCTTTTCCTACAAAAAAATTGTCAAAGTGGTCAGATCGCACCACAGAGCATCTAGAATCTCCCCAAAAATTGGGGCCCGAACCCCACGCCGTACTTTTTTGACCCACTTTTTAAGGACCAAAAATATTCCCCCCCCCCGAAAAAAAAGGATTGTGTTCTGGATCCGTCCTCGGCTTGCTTCTTGTAAATATGCCACGATCTTTGCGGGAAGTATCGAGTTGGAAAAATAGACTAAATTCTGGTTATGTTGATGGGAAATTCATTGTATGGCTAGTGGTTAACCTACAAGCATAACAAAAACACACGCTTCCTTCCATGTTCACAGGCAGGATATACTCATGACAAACCAGTGTAAACACTATGCATTATAGATTAGTGTTTATTTTAAGTGATTTTGAGGGAGCTTCATTTGTGTAACCTTGACCAAGGCTTGGAACGTCTTGCTACTTTTGTTGTGGTTGTGGGGGGGTGGGTTAAATTGCTGCCTTTTTGCAATTCGCTAATGACCGCAGTAAGCACTGAGCAGTGCGGCTTACTTTATAGTGGTATGCCCACGCATTCGTAGTTCAACTCATCGTGCTACCCGTTATACGCGGCAGCGTCACGCATTAATGATCACTTGTGCACGGACCGAATGCCACTGATGAACAACGCAGACAGTCCGTACGGCCTACGTACGGGGATGTACGTGAGAGTGTCTATAACGGAATGGCGTTGGTGTGTCGTTTATGTCTGGGACAGTCTCTGCGCGATGGATTTAATCAAGGTTGATCAAGATTTGTCATTGTGTGGTTGTTGGTAAACCTACAGGCATAACCAAAAAACTATTTCAAAACAATGCAGTCAGGATATCGTGATAAATCATTACAGATGTTTAAAGGAGAGCATTAATTTTGTAGTCTATTCTTTTGTAACAATCAATGATTCACTGATGTAAATTTGAAGTCTATTATTATTTCATTACAAGTTACGATGTCAGGATGATAATGCGAGAGAGTCAATGTCTGTCCACTCGGAGGTAGGCTGCGGGGGGGGGGGGTGCTAGCGCTTTTAGTTGTCCAGTTAGTGTATTCTTAATGTGTTGCTTGAAATTGTATCCTAATGTGTAAAGAGTGTACACGGTCAATTGTTCATGAAATGGCTTGCTTAGAAGGGGTGCATATACCTATGTTCCCCAGCCCTAACCATCAAACCCTAACCCTTACCCTATAAGGATTTTGGGGAGCATATAGATATTGGGGAACATATAGGTATTGGGGAACATTGGGTAGACCCAAAGATCGATTTGAGAAACATTTGAAACATGATACAGGGAAGGCTAATAAAAACAAGTTCTCTTAGTCTATTGCATCCGCAATGCTGGACCACGATGTATGTTCAATGATATGGGGCCATCTGTGTCATTTCCGGCTATTGTATTAACATGTTCGAAGTGTTCTTTTTACAAAACGAAAGATAAAATCTCATGACAAATTAACCCAAGATCAAAATGGATCAGCTATACAGCTGGGTAACTTTGTCTGTATGTTCACAGTTTCAAGTTCCAGTTACAGGTCAATTAGAGGTCATGCAGTCTAAATATCCAGGGGCCGATCCAGGAATTTTTTGCGGGGGTGTCCGATACAGATAATAACTCCTATATAATGTCGTCTTTTTTATAATTACTATATTTTGTTATTATTTTTTTTTGGGGGGGGGGTGTCAGACAGGGGGGGGGGGGGGGAGTCGACTCCCCCCTTCTGGATCCTTGCCTGATATCATTGATTACACTTGTAGAAGACTTTCTCTCACAAACACGCAGCTCAGTTCAAGCGATTTACATTATGATTATAGGTCCTTGTTTTTGATGCGAGTAGTCAAGAACCCTTTAATTCATTGCTGCCGCTGTTATCGTCTTGGCCGTGGGACTAGAAGGGACTTTCCCCCCATCGACTGCTCGACGAGCCGTGGCGTTCGTCATTAATGAACCATCTCCAAGTGCAGCTGAAGACGGACTCAGCTGGGTTTTCCCGAAATGCTAATATCGACCATAGACCGTGACAAATTAAAACAAAAATTCTCAAGTCTTTGCACTAAATAAAGAAGTGTATATCCTTGACGCGAGTGCATATCTCAGACGTTCAGCAAGAATCGCGATTTTTAAAGGCATGGAGGAGCATTTGCGTTTATGCATTTCGTTCGTGTCAAAAAATAACACTGCACTCAAAATCCAAAAACGAAAGTTCAAAACCTTACCTGTTGAAATTTCAGCTCAGTGGAATTGGATAATACACTTTTGGAGAAAACAGTGAAAAAACATGCACAACCTTCTAGTCATGAAACACGATTCCGCCCATAGCACTCTCCCATAACATAACACTCTGCCCCGTAGCACATTCCCAGCGATAAGTCAACTGACTGATCGATGGAAATCACCTACATTTCTCGATTTCTTCTAAATGGCAGCAGGCCAGACGGAATATTTTCACAGGGTGTTTAGTTCCAGTACGATCTTTAAAGGGCCCATTCAGTGTAATTGTTTTAATGCAATCCTCGAAAATGCGCCCTTGTGGCCCATTTAACCTTATTTTCAATGTTTCTTTTGTAATTTTCAGGGGCATTTTGATGCCTTTTTGGTTTTTATACTAATGCGAATTTCCATATTCATCAGTAAAAGCGAGATGACATTTCAGGCAGAAACCTCAATGGTGTAATTATTTCAGCACTGAAAGTTGCCAGTATTTTAAATGTTAAATGTGTTTTTTTTCTATAGCGATTCGTTGTTGTGACAGTACATTGCAGTAAGCCATGTACAATTTATTTTATCTGTTCTTAATGGAACGAATAAACATAACTCATCAATTTGAAAATAATAATTAATTAAACCAACATACATTGAAAGCTTATGAAAGAACCTTGGTCGAGCGGCGCGTCTGGTTATCCATATGTCCCAGGTTCAGATTTCGCTCAGTCATTTTCTTGTTCATCCCCATACTTATAAAGAACCTGTTGTTAAATATTAACAAGACCGCGGTGACCTTGGGCCTAAAATCCCCCTCACAACTCGGGAAAAACAAGACATTAAAAATTGAACATTGTTCGACACGAACTTGTCCCTAAGTGTCCTTTAATAAACGTAGAACAAAACATTGCATAGGCCAGACGGGGCACGCAAGCAGATACGGCAGTCGCGTCAGGCACTTATCGAATGTAAGAATCTAATCCTTCGCCTTCAAGACGAATGATGATTGATGACATTCTTTATTGCCAGGCTGCGGGAACGAAAGGGACTTCCCCCTGGTGAGCAACTGGGACAGGGAATGTAATGCTTCACATCTCACATGTTCACCGTCAATATTTATTACAACCTGCGGACTGTGTATGTTTATTTGGGAGTATGTAATATAAATACTTCAGACCCGACCCCAGCCCCCCCCCCCCCGACCTAAAAAATACTAGTCTTGCTTCCTGCGAAGATGTGCTGTGGAAGAAATCTACAATTTGACATAAAAAAAAAACGTTTTCAGGAAAACGTTTTCAGGAAAACGTTTTCACTAAAATTTTTTTTTGCCTTCTGAAGATTATCTTTTACGAATAAGGAAGATCATGAATAACCTCATTCCCATCCTAACCCTAATATCCTACCTATGATCTTACAGTCACCAAGAAAACTGGTGTTTGATTCCCCGCTAGGGAGGCAAACTTTGTTTGTCAGCTCACATTGTTCAATATCTGCAACATCAAAGAAAATGAGTAAAAAATCGTACATCGTCACTTATATAATCCTCCGTTGTATGGTTGTCAGTATCTCTTAAACCATTGCGTCAACAGAAGTATTGGCATTAACTTTGAGTGGAGATGAAAAGACTTGGGGAAAATGTTGCAACCTGACGCCACTTCCGCGATTCTGTACAAAGTCTTTCCTAACAAAATTGGAAATATTTCTCAGTCCCAGATTCATGTCTCATCATCATTTTTGCAATGAATGACCTTCATTGAGATGATATATGAAGAAAAAAAAGTGGCGCCAGGTTGCAAAATTTTTCCCGACTTCTTCCGTCGACATATGGATAGTTCAGACGATGATTTCTTTCTGACTATAGAAGTAGGTTTTGCAGTGACGGCGGAGAATCTGACAGTGAAGATGCATTGGTTCGGAAGGAATTTTCACGCATGCGGTCCTATTAATAAGGGAATAAATGTGTGCTCTGGAGGTTTTTATCACTCTGTTTAAGACCACTTAGAGTCTGGGTGCTGATAATTACCCGAGCCGGAGGCGAGGGTAATTATCAGCACCCAGACTCTAAGTGGTCTTAAACAGAGTGATAAATACCGACGGAGCACATATTTATTCCCATTCATAAATACCTTTTCGGTAAGAAAAAATCATATAATTCGTTCAAAACATCCCGATTTTGTTCAACAAATTCACTTAATGCTTTTTGAAACATCCCTCTTGCAAAATAATGGAGTGTTCAGCTGGCGAGTAAGATGTAAACAACCCTTTTATTGAGATTGACGCGCGCGTATCATGTTCTGCGCGATGTCGCGCAGAACGCACCTGGCGCGTTGCATTTTGAATTTAGAACTATAAAATTCTGACTCCCTGGTAGTGTTGCGCATGCCTACGTGAGGATTGTGAACGTTCAACCAATGAAACGATAAGAGGCACTGGATTTTTAGGAGTCCACATTTTATTGTGACACTGGAAAAGTGTTTAAGACCAGCTAGCCATGTCTTTATCATCCGTTTAAGACCGGCCACGTGACGGGCTCTCGACCAATAGGAATAGCTA